TATATGTATGTATATATTTTTATATGAGTATGTGTGTGTGTTAACATAATTATATTCACTACTAACCCACAACTGTTACAGAGAGCGCATCGCTTGTGCTAGCCACTCTGTTGTATGTTGAGGTGCAGGTGTAGACTCCATCGTGTAGTGTTGCTGTTGCGTTAGTAATTGAGTAGACCTCAGCATCATTGTGTAGGTCATTGTTGTCCCTGAATACATAATATCATATTGAGCTTAGTTTATTTAATTTTCTTTGACACATTTTATTCTAGACACAAAAACGATATGGAATTATGATATTATGGGATGATTAATAAGGCTATGTGTCTGTAATACTAAAAATAAAACTATATAAAAACCGTTGTTATTTGACAAAAATGAAGTACTGAAGGGCCTAAGTGTTCAAAAATAATTTATTTTAGTGAATTGTACACTTATTGCCATTTTGGCTACATTTTATTTCTTCTACTTATTTTACAATCTCACATTGTCCACGAGAAAGTCCACACAGTTGTTACAGTTAAACCAGTGTTACATTTGAGGTCGTAGTTAACGCCTGCAACATAAAATGATCCAGCTGGTTGACGGGTGATTTCTGGCTTCATTCCTGCGGAGAATAGCAATTTGAGTTCGTAGTGTTGATTTTCGTAATTTTTAACCAATAAAGGTAGTTACAATTGCAGATTTTTAAGATTATTTAAGATTATTTTAAGATTTATTTATTATTAACAAATTACTACAACTGGATTTCTTTTTTTATCTTGCTAGTGTACGACAATATTAAATGCATCTTGTATCTGTATTTTTGTTAGTAGAATTAAAAAAAAATGTAGCGATGGTAATTTTTAAGGAAAAAAAAACATATACAATGATTTCCAATCATTTTATAATAATATCATGAATATTTAAAGTATATTTAGGTAAAATATCAAAGGCTGGGGACTACAAATGTTTTAATACTAAATCACGAAGAAAATTTAACTAGTTGTGCCGATTTAAAATTATAAGTTGGTAAATTATAGTTTTATGGAGTGTACTAAATTAAATATTTCCTGATAATATAAATGTACATTATAAATAAATATTTTAATTCCGTAAATAAAAACGTAGTAGAGAGCACAGAAGTTAAGTTCCACTCATATACTTTAAAAATTTACCATACAATTAAATTAAGGACTGACAAAACTTACCAGCTGTAAATGTCGCATTTGCCGTCGTGTAGCGGCTCTTTACAGCCCGACACTTGTAAACGCCAATGTCACGTTCAGTAAAACGGGAGCGCTCAAGTCTTTTATTGCTTTGATTTTCAATCATTGTTTCATCAAAAAACCATTGGTAAAAATCTGCGTTGATTGTTGTATCCCCGCACGATAAAGCAAGAGTAGATCCAAAAGTAATATCTCCAAGACTTACTTTCACAATTGAAGGGTCAGAGATAAAGTTGTTACCTAAGTAGAAAATATTAATTTCATCTGCCGTAAAACACAAATCAAACACACAGTTTAACGTCAAAAATAAAAATAAAAATAATTTAAATAACTTTAATCTCTGCTTCTTTAATAAATGCAAAACATACTGAACGCTATTCTGGCACTTGATGGAGAAAGTGTGGTTGATTCGTCATATGTAACACTGCACTTGTATGTTGAACTACTTGGTATATTACTTATTAAGGTGTATACGTTAGAGGAACTTGCTTCTATTGATGATGTATCGTTCTGTGAATAAACATGTATATGATTTAACACAATGCTATGTTAATAGTTATGTACACTTAAATACAACATAATCTTTTTCAATATTTTCCGTTTGTGAAATAACAGTTTATACATTTTAGGTTGGTAATACGTAGATTGATCCATACAATTAAAAACCTTAACACATAATGTTTCTAAATATGACGAAGCTATTTTCTAGCAATAATGTTCTCCAAATTAATTGAAAAAATCTAAAAAAAAGTTAAATGTACTAACCATAAATATGTAGGTCACTGTGTTATCACTTGGTAATGGTCTTGTTGTACTACAGGTTAGTGTTGGTCCGTCAGCTCCAACATTATACGTTGTGTCATTAGAAATTGGACCATGGGAGTCCTCTACAATCAGTATTGCAGCTGTATGATTAGTAAAAAATTGAAAAAAATCGTATTATGTAAAAAGTATACAAGACTGATGTGTTTCGGGTTGTATAATAGTTTTAAACACAATTATATTACTAACCCACGACAGAAACAGTAATTGCATTGCTTGTGCTGGACACGAAATTGTATGTTGAGTTACAAGTGTATGTCCCATCATGTATTGCCGATGTTGCGTTGGTGATAACGTAATTGTCAGCATGAATGTTGAGGTCTCTATTGTCCCTTAAATAGGAAAATTAAAAAAAAAATTCAATAATTACTTTCTTGTCTAAACGATATAAATAAAAACATTCCTCTGATATGCAGAATTTGTTCTTCGAGTTGAGTTAAAACAGTACATCAACTTTCAATCAATTACATTTAATAATTTGCTTTTCTAATACGCTATGTATTAATACTTGATATTAGAGGTAACTATATCATTTTACTTTTGGCATAATTTGAATTTTGATGCTCTACAATCTTACTTTGCCCATGTGTATGTCCACCCGTTTGTTTCCATTGAGCCTGAATTACACATCAGAACATAGTTAACGCCTGCTCCGTAGAAAGTTCCCGAAGTTTGTCGAGTGATTGCGGGTTTCATAACTGTTTTGTTAAAAAGTATTATAACTATTTAAATAATTTCTTAGTTATACCTGGCTATTTTTTTTAATATCACCAAGATGTTGTATATTGTGCTATTCAAACATGTATAGCGCCAAACATTTTTGACCAAGGTGCCAACTGTATCGATACTAAGCCTAAAGAGACGTTTATAATTGAATAAGGAACAGAGAATCTTACTAGCAGGGAAAGTCGCATTTGCCGTTGTGTATCGGCTTTTGACAGCCCGACACTTATACTTTCCGATGTCACTTTCAGTAAAACGTGTGCGCTGTAGTACATTCGCGATGTGGTTTTCAATCAACACGTCATCGAAAAACCACTGGTAGTAATCGACGACAATCGTAGGAACCCCGCATGTTAACACGAAATTGGATCCTACAGCTAAATCTTCAAGACTTGTTTTACTGAGTGTAGGAACAGCGATGTAGTCGTTACCTGAAAAATTGTGTTTGTTGAAAAACATGTTATCGTTTTTGAAGAAAGAAAATATATTATATGTAATTGTGAGTTACATTAAATGAATGTAAAATAGAGATGGAGAAAATAACAAGCGTTTGTATAGTGTTTGTAGTTTTAATTTTAATTTTTTAACTCTACTTTATACATCAGTAAAATGAACTCACCCCCCATTATCATCTTAAGTTTCGGCAAAAACAAATAATTATTATATTAATGTCGCTATGGTCCTACACACCAAACTGACGGAACTTTTATGAGGGTTTCATCAACACGATGTCGATTGCTATTTTAATACGCATGACCTTGTTTCATAGAACTTAGATGTTTTAATGTAAACAAGGTTGGCACTAACTTTCGTGAATCTCTGTTTTTTTTGTGGCGTGACACACAACATTACAGGCACTCATGTATGTGGTGCATAAAATTATTGAGTGAACGTTATCATCGACTAATCTGATAATGTGGATAACCCCTAAATGACTGCCCATGTTTTAGGCTGTCGCGGGGCGTTCTTTTGGAGCCATAGGCCGCAATATTGATTGGGGCGTCCGGTGCGACACCTGGTTCAGTATAGTCATCCATTGTGTAAGCCCGCCGTGTCTCTAGTGTAGGGCACTCTTTAAAACGAATGTAGACGAAATAGTGTTCATTGGGGTGACGAGGCGCTTTAGAGTTACACGACTTCTTTAGTGTGATGATTTTAATATACTGTTTAAACATTTTTACCATTTTAATTAAATGTTTTACATATAAATAAAAACTTTACAAATTTGATTAGACGTAGCTACTACATACTGAATGCTATTCTGACACTTGTTGGCGAATATGTGGTTGACCCCTCATATGTAACACTACACTTGTATGTTGTATTACTTGGTATATTGATATTTAACGCGTAGGTTTCAGAATAACTTGAATGCACTGATGAAGTATCGTTCTGTAATGCAAAATTTAATTAAAACATTCAACACCATATGCAATTGAAACAATCTCCATTCATTCAATTTAGTAAATTCTTATTCCCAATATCAACCAGGGCTCAGCTAGTTTTAAATAGATTTGACCACACTGTGGTTTCTTCTTTTCCGTTCAAAAATGTTAAACAAGACATATTATGTAACATATGATTCTTAAGCTAGCCTCATTTTCTTTTTAATTTGTGTTGATTTATTTCTTGTGTCAGCTAGTAATGTGCTGCCCAAATGGCCCTCTTTATTTTAACATTATCCGTGTTTTTTTTAGATGCAGTAATTATAGGTTATTCAAAGTAACACGCCTAAATAGAGCTGGTTAATGGCTGTGAATTTATTATATGATGTTTAAATTCAAGTATCACTTTAAATATCGCTTTATATTATATATTAAGTCGTAATTATCCGAAAATAAATTAGAAAAGGCATCTGATCGCGACTGTCTAAACTAAATATTAAGTATTAGTCAGTCATGGGATACCACTTGCGATAATTACCCCTAATTACGACCCAAATATGTAAGTAGTTAAGTCAAATAAAAGAGTTATAATTTATTTCCTGAAAAGAATATGCATTCGTATATTACACAATATTTTGTATACTTTATCTTCCAAATTAAAATTATTATTATTATAAAAAAATATTTATCAAGTTAGAACATCAAAGCACAAACCAAAAATGTGAATATCACAGTGCTTGCATTAGCCAGTGGTGGAGTTGTCGTGCATGTAAGAGTTGGTCCGGCACTTCCAACATTATATGTTGTGTCTGTAAGAATTGGACCACCAAAGTCAGATGTTGTCATGACAGCAGCTGTGGAAAAAACGAATTAAATTTACAATAGAGTAAACGACCAAAAACAATTTTAAAAAGCCACGCATATATATATATATATATATATATATATATATATATATATATATATATATATATATATATATATATATATATATATATATATATACTAACCCGCGACTGTTACAGTGAGTGCATTGCTTGTGCTAGCTATCATGTTGTATGTTGAGGTGCAGGTGTAGACTCCATCGTGTAGTGTTGCTGTTGCGTTAGCGATTGAGTAGACTTCAGCATCATTGAATAAGTCATTGTTGTTCCTGCAATCAATAAAATTAGCCAAGTATGTTGAGCTTAGTTCAAATGCTTGGATCATTTTGGACATCTAAACTTTATCTGGCCCGTGTTATTTTTTAAACATTCACCAAGAGACGTGAAAAAGTGTTGTGTCTAAGATTGTAATAAGAAACATTTTTATATCTTAGTATTAAGACAAAAAATTCAAGAAAATATTTAATTACTAGAAAAAAAATAATGTGAGAGTATTTTTCAAACTATACTAATAAATATTTTTATAAATAGATTTTTCTGCTCTCCTACTATATCGCTTGTATTTTGACAATTAAAAAAATAATTCTTTTACATACGTAGATTGTTTCTTGGTAGTAATTATTTTATATGTATATTTTATAATCTTACTTTGTCCACGAGAATGTCCACCCAGTTGTTATAGTTAAGCCAATGTTACACATGAGGTCGTAATTAACGCCGGCACCATAAAAAGTTCCAGAAGTTTGACGGATGATTTCTGGTTTTATTCCTATAAAAATAGCATTTATGATATTTTAGCATAATATATTACACGTTTTAAAATAAGTAGGCTAATTACATCTGGAGAGTTTCACCATTACAAAAGATTATTCAACTCGAAAAATGTATCTATAATGAAAAGTGGAACATTCAAAAAATTTCTTGTAACAGGTGTATTTTTTTAAATCGTAATTTATTTTAATACCTTAGGAAAACTTATTAAATAAAAACCTATAAAACAAGTTTAGCTAACCCAATTTACCAAATGTTGAATTACATAGCATAGACTATGTGAGAGTCTGATTTACGATTAAATTGAGGGCTGACAAAACTTACCAGCTGTAAATGTCGCATTTGCCGTCGTGTAGCGGCTCTTTACAGCGCGACACTTGTAAACGCCAATGTCACGTTCAGTAAAACGTGGCCGCTCGAGTCTTTTATTGCTTTGATTTTCAATCATCGTGTTATCAAAAAACCATTGGTAAAAATCTGCGTCAATCGTTTCCCCGTACAATAACGTTAGTGTAGATCCTATGGTAATATCTCCAAGACTTGTTTTGATAATTGAAGAAACAGCGATAAAATCCTCACCTAAATTCAAAATACGATTCCATTAAAAAGCATATAAATAAATATTTTTAGACGACTCATAATCGACTCATAATTATTTTTGAAATGTTTAATATTTTATTCCAGCATAGAATAATTTTAAACTTACTGAATTCTATTCTCGGACTTGTTGGAGAATATGTGATTGACCCATCATATGTAACACTACACTTGTATGATGTATTACTTCTTATACTGTTGTCTAATGTGTACGTGTTTAAAGAACCTTCTTGAACCGATGTTGTATCGCTCTGTCAAAAAAAAGCGTTTGCATGATGTGTGGTAGAGAAATTAGTACACATAGCCAAATATTTTAGAGAAACTTTTTTTTTTTCTATAGCATAAATCATAGCACTTAAGATATTTTTAAAATTGGGGTTGTTTTTGTTCAATCTAGCGTTTAATTAAATTAAAAAAAATTACTTATAAAAAATGTTTTCAAAATAGAAATAAATGAGAAAAACAACTAAATTATATATTTTGAAAAATATCAATTTAATTTACTTTTACATTAGAATATTTATATTCCGCTGAAAATAGTACCAGCGCCTATTTTAAATGTTAAAAATTAGCAGTCGCACTATCAATGCACTTACCATAAATGTGTAGGTCGCTGTGTTTTCACTAGGTAATTGTGAAGTTGTCCTACATGTAAGTGTTGGTCCTTCAGCTCCAACATTATAAGTTGTGTCAATAGAAATTGGACCGTAGGAGTCCTCTACGATCAGAGTTGCAGCTGTTAAATATAACAGAAATTTTAAATTAAATATATAGACATTGAGCTACCTCACTTAGCTAGGCAGCTAATGTTTTTTTTAAATATGCTTCGTGGGGGAAAATTCAGCACTATCGATGTTGATGTACAGATTTGCCGTCCCCCTCTTTTACATTCATTTCATAATACCAAACTCTACCCTCACATGTAGCAAACCAATAAATGAACCGCATGTGAACAACCTGACCTTACATTACCCAATTTCGCTAATGTTAACAGACGTTAGGGATCCATTACTCTTTTTCAAATCTAAAATTTATTTTAACGTCAAAACGAGTTTGTTTATTTGCTTAAAGGTAACGCTTAGTAACTAACCTACAACTGTTACAGTGAGTGCATCGCTTGTGCTAGCTATCCTGTTGTATGTAGAGGTGCAGGTGTAGACCCCATCATGTAGTGATGCTGTCGCGTTTGTGATTGAATAAACGCCTGAATTGATTTGCATGTCTGTAAGTTCTCTGTAAATGAAAAAGTAATTTAAAAATTATGTGTTTCGTGTTAATAATAAAATAACTATGAATATTTTAAATTTTAATTGTTATTTTTAAATACATAAGATTTCTTTTTTACTTAAAATGTTGATTTTGTTTTGATAAAAATCATTTTAAAATATTTTAACACGTTTTGTCTAATGCTTGTTATTTATGAAAACAATATTGCACGTAAGCTTAATCGGTTGCTCATGTTCTACAATCGTACTTAGTCCACGAGAAGGCCCATCCAATTTTTAGATTTGAGCCAGATATGCATGTCAGACTATAGTTAACGCCTGCGCCATAGAAAGTTCCCGAAGGATTACGGGATATTCTGGGTTTCATAACTGTGGAGATGAATACATAACGTACTAGATTAATCATCGTTAGGGTAATATTTAATTAAAAAAATTATCCATTGTTTATCACACCAATATTGTTATATTCCAAAGACCTTATCCACACGCGCGGATGAAAATCTTCTGAAAAGTGATTTTAGACAAATAAAACATAGAGTAATATATTATCTTGCAGCTGAAAATCATTCTTAGACAAATGTCTCACAAATGTTTTGACATTGTTACTGACAGAAAATACAACGATACCATTGTCAATGGATGAAACATCTAGAAACATATTTGCTTGTAATGCAGGTTGCTGGCTGAAAGGAGTGAGGAAACCGGTATGATTTTAAACTCCTTGGGCTCTTGAAAACACAATTTAGCAGTCAAATAAAGATAATTTGTACATAATTGAATAGACAACAACGAACGGCGTTGTCAGGTAAGAGCACACGGTGTTTAATTGAAATGGCCCGAGTTTGAATCCTTGGCATATACTTCTAGATACTGTCACAGACTGTATTATTTGGTATGTTTATTATATTGTGTTTTACATGAAGTTGCGTGAATGTAGAGTACCTGGCCAACGGAAGGACTGTCTGAGCGACTCGTCATGTATTTTTCCGTGCTTTTGTGAGATCGCTCATTGACGTAAGGGGAGAGAAAGTTGTGTATAAAAGGTGGAGCGCAAGGTGAACGAAGTGTGCTTGCCTGTGACTGTGTATTAAGATGTAAGATGTCACCACCTCAGTTTTTTCTAGACTATAATGTAATAGTCATTTTTCTACTGTGAAAATCGTTATTATTTCTTATGGATCTATGTAAATAAAGTTTGAAGTTACAAAGCACTGTTGATCGTATTCTTGGATGAACGAACCCACAATAACGACACTATCATCCTATCAACAACATTCATGTCGTAACAGATACATAGGGACAGAAACCCATTGTTCTTTATTGGACAATGGCTATGTAAGCAAATCCAGTCGACGAGTCACATGGGCCACAACATTGTGACACGTCATACTTAACTGTGTTGGAGGAAACACCGTCCAACATATTAGAAATAGGAACAAACAGGAAAAGACAGAATAGACAACAACATTCTCACTAGCAGCGAAAGACGCATCTGCAGTCTTGTTCGTTAAAACTTTTTTTTTTGTGTGTAGTTTTCAATAAGTGAGTCATATAAAAAATAGTTGTAATAATTTGAGATACTCGTTAAGCATAATGATAAATATTGAAAAGAAAATAATCTTACTTGCAGAAAAAGACGCATTTGCCGTTGTGTATCGGCTTTTGACAGCCCGACACTTATACACTCCGATGTCACTTTCAGTAAAACTTATGCGCTGTAGTACATTTGCGATGTGGTTTTCAATCAACACGTCATCGAAAAACCACTGGTAGTAATCGACGACAATCGTATGATCCCCGCATGTTAACACGAAATTGGATCCTACAGCTAAATCTTCAAGACTTGTTTTACTGAGTGTAGGGACAGCGATGTAGTCGTTACCTGAAAAAAGAAAAACAATGTGTACTTTTAAAGTAATTGAAATATTTGTTGGAGATTTTAGTTGTGACTATATCAGACTTTTGTTTTTGTTTACAGCTTGATGTCTTTATTTTTTTGTTTTTATATGAAATAAAATAAGTACGGAAAACGATTGCATAATAACAATATCTAAATACACAAAGTAATAAAACTTATAACAAATACGCATCTATCTATTACACTCTTTATATTTAAATTTCTGCGCAACACCATTGTGTAACAAATAAATCATTATAACATTCAACGTCATGCAATACAAAAATACTATTTAATAGTTTTATGTCAGAAATTCCTATAATTTCTAATTTTAGAAAAATAACACGTTTCGGATTCAAATATTCTAAAGAAGAGAACGCCTGTATTTTGAAAATCATTTCTTTAAACATATTATGATGTAAAAACAAAAGTAAACCGTAGTTACATGATACCTATTTTTTTCTTACATTTGTTAATCAAACACTTAAAATTAGATGTGGTACTTAGTAATATTTACATACTGAACGCTATTCTAGCACTTATTGACGAATATGTGGTCGATCCGTCATAATTCACACCACACCTGAATGTTGTATTACTTGGGATATAGCCATTTACCATGTAGGTTTCAGAGGAACTTGATTGTATTGAAGAAACACTGTCCTGTAAGAAAATTGTAAAGTATATTTTTCCGCAAACATAGTAAAGAATTCATTATCACAATGAAACGATATGAACATTACATAACATTTTGAAGCAATACATCCAATCGTATTTATTTTACGTAACTGTAAGGGACTAGAGTTCAAATTATCATAAACATGTAATCAGATGGAAGATAAATTTGTCGTTTACCAACCATATAGATCAATTGATATAAATGTGTGTTTACAGCGGTTCTTTTTCCATATATATTAGTAAAGTCAATAAAATAAGATAAACATATAAACAACTTTCATCTTTATTATATAATGACAACTAAGGGCAAAGCATGTGTGATCATTCTCGTTAAAAAAAACTATCTCTGTGCAATGCCTGGTATAGTCATCGCACAATGCATCTTTGTCAAATCAAAAATTTGGTCAAACGACTTTTGGATAAACACCGTGAGGTCAAACCATCTTGTTAAACCAGCTGTTCAAAGCACATCGTTTGGTTCATTGAATTGTATATGTATTACATTCCTTGTTTTGGATAATTAAAAAAAATAATTAAATATTACTATACGCATTTGTACCGTTATCCCATTTTGAGCTTACTTTTGAAATGTAAGAAAACTGTATAAAACAAAAATTCAAATAAGCACACAGTAGTATCATGAAATATTATCAGAATAAAAAGTAACTTTTTAAATGTATTTTATACTCCTTAATATCAAAATCACCAAACAGTTTAATGAATTAAATACGATCCAATATTTTTTGTAACTGTTCTAATATGTTTTCAAAAAGAAACAATTTGTACTTAATCTGTTAATTATCTTTTAAGTTAAAAGTTTATTCCATAAAATGTGTATTGTTAGAGCCACGTCAAATGCACAAACCCAGAATGTGTATGTCACAGTGCTTGCATTAGCCAATGGTGGAGTTGTCGTGCATGTAAGAGTTGGTCCGGCACTTCCAACATTATATGTTGTGTCTGTGAGAATTGGACCACCAACGTCAGATATAGTCATGACAGCAGCTGTGCGAATAAAGTTAAATGAGTATATTTAGGTTGCAGTAACATTACAGTGGCTTCTCTAATTCGTGAATCACGTGTATGGCTAAGTATTATTGTCAACACAAATATCAGCACAAATATCAAGGTAATACACCATTATTTACTTAATTTTAAGTAGTTGCAATTCAAAATAAATGCACTTGGATTTTAAAATTATATTTAACGAGCTGACCCGCGATGTAGCAGTAATTCATAATGTGTGAATTCGACACTACCAATGCTGCGACTAAAAACATTTTGCTTTAACCCCCCCCCCCCCTCCCCCCCCCCCCCCCCGTGAAAGCAGCCGTCCGTGACGATAATTTACAGATCACAATGGAAAGATCAAGCAGAACTTGTTTTTATCTCCCCTTAGTTTCAAATCTTTTTAAAAACTAAATTATCTGCCCCTAATAGCCGTCACTAATTGGACCCGGCCCTACGATTGTAAACATTTAGTGTTAACCACAGCTCACCAGACTGGTGAGGGTGGTAGCTATATGCCTAGAGAGCGAGGGAGTAACTGCATGGGATAACGTGGTGTCTCGCATGGTCCACATGAAAATATTTATATAGATTTTATAACAAACTTGATTTTAAAAAAAAACACACTGCCAAATCACAAAAAAAGTTGTAATCCCGTATAATCTTTTAAATCTACAAACAGTAATCAGCCATACAACAATAGAAACATGTAAAAGTTTAAGAGTACATATTTGCAAACATAACGTTTCTTCATGAGTATGTAAAAGTATTTTGACTCGACTAACCTATGATGGTAACAGTGACTGCATCGCTTGTGCTAGCCACTCTATTGTATGTTGAGGTGCAGGTATATACGCCATCGTGTAGTGTTGCTGTTGCGTTAGTAATTGAGTAGACATCAGCGTTATTGTGTAGGTCCGTGTTGTTTCTGAAATCATGACATTTCATTAATCAAGTACCTTGAGCCTATTTTTGGTAACATTGCAATTGTAGTTAACAATAATACACTGACGGTATTCATTTTGGGCTTACAAACTGCATGCTATGCACGCAGTATTTCTGATATTTTGGGTGATAAAGCGAGGGTTCGTTCTAAACTAATAGTGTCTCAATATTTTGAGATAAATTTATATCATAGTGAATACAATTGATCAGAGAAGATAATAAAAATGTAGTCTACAAGATGGTTTGTATATTTTCTAATAATATCTACTTGTCATTTATGAATTATATATGTTATCATTGGTCTGAATTAATACATACATTACTTTAATATTACGCATAACAATCTTACTTTATCCACGAGAAGGTCCACCCATTTATGACTCTTGAATCAGTGTTACACTTTAGAACGTAGTTATTGCCTGCACCATAAAAGCTGCTTATTGGTCGAATGCTAATGTATGGCTTCATAGCTATTGGGGTTTAAATAAAATGTGTTAGTATTTTTAGTTCCGATGATAAATATTAATTGTAATTAAATGGACAAAGTGTTATATAACCCAAATCAGGAAGATTCGAAAAGAATTTCAAAAATAGGTTTTTATTGAACCGTATAAGTAATCACTAAATGCTTGTGCCTGTGCCTGTGCCTGTGTCTGTGTCTATGTCTGTGTCTGCGTCTGCGTCTGCGTCTCCGTCTCCGCCTATGCCTACGCCTACGCCTACGTCTACGCGTACGCGTATATCTATGTATATACCTATGTCTATGCCTATGTCTATGTACATCGATTTTACTCCTTTTTATTCTCTACAATTAATCACGTAATTTTTCTATGTGGAAGTATACTTTACAAGTTTTTTTCGTTTGACTCGATTTCGGATATTTCATTTAGTTTAATGTGACACCTTTCAAATTGCCTGTGATAGTTTTAATTTTCGTTTTGTTTTCTCTAGAGCGATCCATACAGTTAAAAACAGTGACAGATTAGTGAAAGGTTTATATATAATCAGAACCTACTGACTGCTATTCTGGCACTTGTTTGCGAAAAGGTTGTAAACCAGTCATAAGTAACACTACACCTATATGTTGTATTACTTGGTACACTTGTGTCTATTATGTAGTTGACAGAAGAACCCTGTTGTAATACTGATACATCGTCCTGTGAATAACAATATATCACATCCAATAAAAGTTATATTTTCTTTTTGGAGGTTCCTTTCAAAGCAGGTTGAACTAGAGAGACAGGTATAGTAAAAACTGATAGGACTTAGGCAGTTTTCGAAAAGATCAAACGTACTAACCCAAAATGTGTATACCAGAGTGTTTGCATTTGGCAGTTGTCTGGTTACCGCACAGGTGAGTTTCGGCCCGTCCTCACCTACATTAAAAGCCTTGTCTGCAGAAATTTGACCATTTGTGTCGTTCATGGCCAGAGTAGCAGCTGTTGAACATATCGTTTACAAATTTATAGCACAGTAATTTAAATCAAAATGTAATTTCAATTTGCTTTACTTAGAAATAAACAAATAAATAAATAAATATGTAAATGCATGTATACATATATATATATATATATATATATATATATATATATATATATATATATATATATATATATATATATGCACATGCACATGCATATGCACATGCACATTCACATACACATACACATACGCATACGCATACGCATACGCATACGCATACGCATACGCATACGCATACGCATACGCATACGCATACGCATACGCATACGCATACGCAAACGCATACGCATACGCATACGCATACACATACACATACACATAAACTGACCTACGATGATTACAGTGAGTGCATCACTTGAAGTTGATACACCACTGTAAGTCGATATGCAAGTATACACGCCATCATGTATGGCTGCTGATGCTTGTGTGATTTCGTAGGTATCAGAATTAATTTGCATATCTATTGTGTCCCTGCAATCGTAAAAAAATAAAGTCAAGTATATCGAAATCTTTTAAATCATTATTGAAATATTAACAGTGAGATAATTTTTACATTTTTACTTTCTCGTATATACGAAGTATAGAGAAAGTCTTGTAATAGTGCAAAAAAAAATCGAGATTTTTACAAATCTCGACGTTTTACACCTAACTGATACGGAAAAACATAATTTTGCAATCTTGTCCGTATGTCTGTGTGTCTGTGTGTGTGAGTGTCTCTGTGTGTGTGTAAACACGATAATTTGAGTAACGTTACAGCTAGATTGTTGAAATTTCATATATAAGTATTTTATCAAAATCGTAGATCCTGATCAATTTTTGAGCGATTTCCAATAACCGGAAGTGGTACTTTTTCTATTTTGAAATTTTCAAAATCCTATAACTTGAGTATTATTTCAGATAGATAAATGAAATTTCACAAGTAAGTAAAAGATATAATTCTCTACATTCTGTCAAATTTTGAGTAATTTCCGTTAAACCGGAAGTACTAATTTACTCTATTTCTGATTTCTCATAAAACGAATGTAAATTTATAAAGTACTAATAATTCTTTTTTTCTACGAGATTCTATTCTATTTCAAAAAGTTTAAGTAATTAAAAATCATGCCTATATTCCGAGTTATATAAGACTAGGCATGCTGCCCAGCTTCGCTTAGGCTTTCGAAAACATTGAGAATTTGAATGCTTAATTAATTCGCCCGAAGGTCGGTCTACGACCTCAAGAGTTATGAAGAGGTTCCTCCGTGGACATTTTTTTTCGATTTATAGCTCATATAAGGTACCGGTCAGTCGAGGTCAGTTTTGACCCCCACATCGTAGACTTTTCGGCCAACCGGCCCCCGTGTTCTGTCGCATCAAGGCAAGATCATGCCAAATTTGAAGCGCCTGCGGCGCCGGGAAGTGCCCTATCGGACACCCGACAATCTAGATCTAGATCTAGATTTCTAAAAGAATTTTTTTTTTTAAGTTTAGCCCGAGCATAATAAAAAATAATACATTAACCAAGTTGACTTGCTGTGTCTCGAACCCGCACCACCTGCGTGGTTTAATGTACACTAACATCTCCGCTATTTAGGCACCTTATAAAATACGGAGAATGAAACACGTATTTTAAAATCTTAACTTACGCGAATATGCCTATTCTTTCAAATTAATTTTTTATCCCAAATTAGCCAGTTCCAAACAAAGATTTTGTATAAAATAAATAAGTCTTGAAATAGTTTAGTCCTAATATAGAAATTTATTTTTGGAATTGATTTTAGAGAAGTTAGAGTCTAAATCTAGATCTTAGCGTCTACGTCTAGATCTAGTTATTGCGTAGATTTAGATTTAGATTTAGTCTAGATCTAGAATCTCTAGATCTAGAATCCAAATAAATAAAATAAATTGTATGAGTTTAGGCCGGAAAAATTGTATTGTATACATTTCATAGTGTACGTAGATCTAAATCAAATTTGAATGAAATAGTTCATTTCTTTTTATTCAAAACACAGCAGATGACGTCATTAGTTAATGTATAAGCAATAGCGACGTCACAGTTTTATGCGTTCTTTTTCACATGTATTAATGCTTTTCCGGTTGCATAAATAATACTGTTTCTCTACATTCGAATACGCCTTTAATTTTTATTTTTCTTCTTTAAGTAAAATTGTGGTTATACATTTAAAACATCTAACATATTATTTTCAACAAAAGTCCGTAAAAAGTTCTCCATATATCGCTGCCGATTCTGACGTGATGTCCGGCGAAAATTTTTTGCGGACAGAGAAAGAGAGAGAGAGAAGATGTGCGAACGTGGGGATTTATATATTAGGATTATTCGAGAAAGTTTAGGGGAGATCACTTCCGGTTTATTTGTTTACAAATTCACTAGCTGGTTAACTTTTGACATAAATGACATGATGCGAATTCAAATCAGCGTAGTTTGCTTAGCTTATCTATTTATAAGATCTATCTAAATCTATAATGGGCCACGTTCGCACATCTCTCTCTCTCTCTCTCTCTCTGTCCGCAAAAATTTTTCGCCGGACATCACGTCAGAAACGGCAGCGATATATGGAGAACTTTATACGGACTTTTGTTGAAAATAATATGTTAGATGTTTTAAATGTATAACCACAATTTTATTTAAAGAAGAAAAATATAAAATAAAGGCGTATTCGAATGTAGAGAAACAGTATTATTTATGCAACCGGAAAAGCATTAATAGATGTATAAAAGAACGCATAAAACTGTGACGACACTATTGCTTACTAATGACGTCATCTGCCGTGTTGAGAATAAAAAAGAAATGAACTATTTCATTCAAATTTGACTTAGATCTACGTACCCTATGAAATGTATACAATACAATTTTTCCGGCCTAAACTCATAACATTTATTTATACAAAATCTTTGTTTGGAATTGGTTAATTTGGGATAAAAAAATTAATTTGAAAGAATAGGCATATTCGCGTTAGTTACGATTTTAAAATACGTCTTTCATTCTCTGTATTTTATAAGGTGCCTAAATAGCGGAGATGTTAGTGTACTATAAACCACGCAGGTGGTGCGGGTTCGAGACCCACCAAGTCAACTTGGTTAATGTATTTTTTTTTATTTTGCTCGGACTAAACTTAAAAAAAAAAATTCAATTAGGATTCTAGATCTAGATCTAGATTGTCGGGTGTCCGATAAGGCACTTCCCGGCGCCGCATGCGCTTCAAATTTGGCAGGATCTTGCCTTGGGGCGACAGAGCACGGGGGCCGGTTGGCCGAAAAGTCTACGATGAGGGGGTCAAAACTGACCTCGACTGACCGATACCTTATATGAGCTATAAATCGAAAAAAAATGTCCACGGAGGAACCTCTTCATACCTCTTGAGGTCGTAGACCGACCCTCGGGCGAATTAATTAAGCATTCAAATTCTCAATGTTTTCGAAAGCCTAAGCGAAGCTGGGCAGCATGCCTAGTATATATATAATTCTCTTCACGAAGACCATAGAAAACACCACGCAGCTTAGACACCACCTTCATCCCCACCTGTCAGGAGAGCTGTGGTTCACCACGAATGTTTACAATCGTAGAGCCGGGTTACTGACTGCTATTAGGGGCAGATAATTTATTATTAAACAATTTGAAACGAAGGGGAGGTAACAATTTCTGACTGATCTTTTCTTTGTCTGTAAACAGCTTCTTTCACTGGGCGGGGTGGTGGATGGGAGGGGTAGTGTTGAATTCACAAAATATGAATTGCTAATAAACAGAAATAAAACAATTAGTATACTACGTCGCGGGTCAGCTCGTTTTACATAATTGACATGATGCGAACTCGAAACAGCGTAGTTTGCTTTACTCTAATTTTAATAGTTTATATATTAAGACTTAACAGACAGGACAATAACCCTAAGGGGTCATCCATAAATGACGTCACGCTTTTTTGGACGATTTTTACCTCCCCCCCCTCCCCTTCGTCACACGTCGTCACAAAAAGTCAGACCCCCCCCCCTAAAATGACGTCACACCTCAACCTACAACCCCCCTCAAAATTGCAGTTGAATTTTTTAAAAACATCGATATTTTTCCAAAATCTTGTCTAAACTATTACAATTTATTAAAAGTTATCTAAAACGCGAAATAACGTCTAAAATTCATTTTCTAACATTGCTTTTTTATATTGCAAAAATGTGACGTCGCAACATCTGAACCTCCCCCCCTCCCCCTCATCTCACATCGTCACAAAATTACGGACCCCCCCCCCATCCCCCCTACGAGTGTGACGTCATTTATGGATGACCCCTAACCTTTGAAGACAAACTGATAACGTAGTGTACTATAAAACGTAGTAAAGAATAATTTTTATACCTAGCGATCCTTTGGGCAGATGAATTAGAGTTCATGTGACATTGTTTCTTGACTAAGGCATATGAACGAAAGGTGTGGTCAGCACTTTGCCAAGTCGCCTTTACTTTCCCAAACATGTGTAAGGTACCCATCAGAGCAAGGTGGACTCAGGGATATTATACTGACTTTGACACGGATTCGAACTAGAGACTTTTGGGTTATCAGCCTAGCGCTCTATCGCTTAGGCAACTCCATCCTATAGTTTCTTCTAAGATCTATATGTAAATCTCTTCATAATTCCCAATACTAGTTCTTTACAAATATATAGCCTATATATTTGCTTTTACTTTCATCTTCTTCATTCTTAGTTTTAGTGTTGGAAGGGGTCCCCTCTAGCACTATTAAGTAGGCCTACACGTGTCAACTGGTTATGCGCCAATGAGACTATAGACTCAGCCTGCTTTTCTTTTTGGCTAACCATTTACAAACTACAAGGCAGCAGTTGTTTGATTTTGGACTTGTCTCTCCTAGAAGAGTGGTTGTCACCTCATCTGCCCGAGGGTTAAACTCGAGACTTTTCGGTTTAGCAGCCATGAGCTTTACCGACTCGACCACGCCTACATCTGCTTTTACATTAATTTACGCGGAAATTCAGAATGTTAATTTCATTCAAGGATGTACAATCTTACTTTGTCCACGTGTAGGTCCACCCAGCTGTTACTCCTGAGTCTGTGTTACACCATAGAACGTACCTAACGCCTGCGCCATAAAAGTTTCTCATCACGCTAGGCTGAATGGTGATCGTGGGTTTCAAAGCTTTATGATAAATGTTTTATTTTTTACTTATAAAAAAACAAGACGAATTGTTTAATACAAATATAAAATAATCCATTTCTTTTGCTAGATTTTTGTGAGAGAAAATAGTACAACTGGCTATTATAAAGACATTCTGTAAATACATTTAAATGTCTTTCTACAAAGACTTAAAGTAGACTGACTATAAACAGACGATCAGAGGGTAAGCTAAATATAGATGCATCGTGAGATAAAAATATATTAATTTACTCTGATTTTTAATCGATACACAAGAAAATTCTGCCACAATATTTAAGTAGATAAAGTGGATGATGTATATTATATTGATGGCAAATCTCATGAAGAGGATTAAGATACCGCAAACGATGTTATATAAATATAGTTGATGTTTTGGATGACGTAACTGATGTATATATTATGTATGAGGAGTATTTATTCCAGACTTTTTTTCCGAGAGGGGGGGAGGGGGGCACTTGATACATTTTTTTGGGGAGGGGGCGGACAACAAGATTTTCCGGGGAAGGGGACACTGGTAAAAGTATATGTTTCTATATAAATTCCATTTCGTTCGGCGGGGAGGGGGTGGGGGAAGGGGTGGTAGACTTTCGTCGAAGAGATGCCTGGAATAAACTCTGATTATGCGACTGGTGTTCATTTTGTAGAAAAAGAAAATGTAGTAAAAGATACAGACGCTTTGGATTATGACAGTGATGTATATGACGCAGGTGATGTTTAAGATGTATATGATGTACATTTCTACGATGTTAATATTCAAATGATTTAGATAGCGTTTTAAGGAAAAGTAGAGGATTTAAGGAAAAGTAGAGGATTCTGAACACTTACTAATTATTTGTACAGTCAGGGGATCACTAGTGCGCGTGGCACCGTTGTACATCAAGTTGCAGGTGTAGCTTCCATCGTGCGAGGCAGCATTCGCGCCATAAATATTGTATGTACCAGAAGAGATTCGGGTGCTCTGGCCATTCCTACGTCATTTAAATACATCTACTCTCAAGCAGAAACTTGTTTTTATCTCATTAATACAGTTATTTAAATGTTCGATACACTATCGTTATATTTTTCTAATTTCACTTCACTGAATACAAATATTCCCATTTTAGACCTTACAATCCGTAGATCAAACGAAGTGAGTTCAAAGGCTGTTTGACCTCGGCATGGGAAGGAATTGTGCGATAGGCACAATAATACCAAAACAGAATTACTTCCCTTATCGTGAATCAGGTTATCATACGGAATTTCTAATTATTAGTAAACGTATCCGATACATATTATAGTGACCCACGCTTTTTAAAAAAAAGTAATTTAAATAATAGTTTATTTTAATATATTTAAACAAAATTATTAATTTTTTTCCCCTGTTTAATGAATTACTACATAGAAGCTTGTTATTAAAACGTTTTATTATGCATATTTTACTGATAGTCTTTAAAAATGTAATTATTTCAATAGTTCGATTAATTAACTTACTTTAACCATAAATAGCTCCAAGCAGTATTGCCACCAGTGCCAGAGTCACACTTGAAATCATAGGAACCTGCTGCCGCGTAGAAATTCCCTGCAGTTAGTCTGGTTGCTGTAGGCTTCATTACTATTGAAACAGATAATTTTTAACACACCGGATAAAGCTTTAGGAAATAAAGTTTGAACGTTTACACATGGGACCTCTTGCAGGTCAATACAAATTATATTGAGTTTTTTATATTCTACGATGACACTGCTTTTCCAAACCGTTGTTGTGGACACATAGGCCTAATACTCACGCTAAAAAATTACAGTTCGTTATCTAATACTACAATATAAAAGAGCTACATAATATATCATTTAATTTGTATCTAATGTTAATTTTAAGTACTATTATTCCCCTTTTAGTCTTTTTTATTGTATTCTTGCAATTCTTGACCTGTATGAATAGAGGCCTAGTAATGTGGTGCAGTTAAGAATGTATTTTTTTATTATTTTAAGCAAAAATAAAACCGATTGCACATCCAAACTTACTGGCATCAAAAGTCGCATCTGCCGTCGTGTACCGACTCTTCACTGCCCGACACTGGTACAGTCCGATATCGGCTATGGCGAATTTATAGATTTGTATTGTCTTATCGTATTGGCGTTCGATGGTTTTACCACTGATGGACCACTGGTAAGAGTCAGCGACGTATGAGGAATCTCCACATGACAAAACAAGGGTAGACTCAATTTCTATTTCGCCAGCACTCTTTTTTATTATAGTTGGTACAGCTAAATAATCGTTGCCTGGAAAATATAAAATTACTGCAAGTATTATTTTAGAATGTGAAAAAAAGACGTACTTAGCTTTTTACCAAGTTTTAGCAAATTTTTATATGGTTTGAAGGTTAGAGGTGGGTTACTAAGTTTGGAAACCGGCTTAAAAGCGATCAGTCATATGCTTTAATTAAAATTTGCAATTTTTTTAAAAAAATTATAAATACGATTCATGCAACATTGATCTTTTATAAAATCAAGCACATTTGAAAAACTTTTAAAACTTTTAGTAGAAATATAATCTATTAACAGTCATTTATGATAAGTAAATAATATAAACTAGGTTTATTTTTTTTAAAATAAATTACTTCAGGAGTGAAAGGACAACGACAAAAATATTACGTACTGACAGTTATTATGACGGATGGCGTCGAAGTTGTATTGACACCGTCAAAATTAACTTGGCAAGTGTACGCTGTGCTACTTGACGTCCGCGTGTCAACTGTGTACGTGCTTGAAGTGCCCGTCCATAGGGATTTTGTGCCAGCCTAGACATTTGAAAAACACTAGCTCTTTGTTTTGTTTTATGAATCAAAAGATGTTTTAGAAAAAGGAAAGAGAAATAGATCTAGGTTTCTACATTAAAACAAGTTATTAAAAAGTCTAGTGACAATTTAAGCGCAATTTCCTTATGTTATCTAAAAATTGCTCTGTCGTAGTGTAAAGCACACACGGGGACAAAGCCAGGTCACATAAATCCTCCTCCTTCGCCTGCGTCTCGCGCAGTTCGCTGTTAAGCCAGCCCGCGCAGTTCGCTGCTAAGCCAGCCAGGTCACATGATTTACCCTCGTCCTCCTTCGCCTTCCACTGCCGATTTTGCTATATAGTACTGTAATGTATTATGTATAATGTAATTTAAAAAAAATTGTGACCGAACGAAAGGATATTTTTGAAAACTTTCTTCGGCAATGATGTTCTAAATTATGGCAGAAATCGATTTGTAAATGTTTCAAGTCGCTAAGTGGTCTGGTTGCCGAGATATGGGCAAAAAAATCTTTTTCCAGTTTTTTGGAAGGAAGGAATTCCGGGAATTTTTTTGGCCCACGATCATCCTCGGAACTTGCTTAACATTTTTGCTAATGGAACTAGTCCTCGATATTGCTTCGTTGAGGAGGAGATACGACTTAAAGCAGCGGACATCCATCCATCCATTCAGAAATGTTGGGTTAATAAACGCAATTCTCCAGAATGGAAATTGCGCTAAACACTACTTTTACTTCATTAAGCTATGTTAATTAACTAACAATATATATATATATATATATATATATATATATATATATATATATATATATATATATATATATATATATATATATATATATATATATATATTCCAATTAGTATCACCAGAAAGGCATTAAGGTTGACAATGCAAGAATAGCATAACAGAGGTCGAAATGGTGACGCAAAATTTAGCGATTACACCACAGACATAGTGTATAGTGGATTTTAATTGAGAAGATGGTACGGGACATATAACTTTGGAGATCTTTGACAGTCGACCGATAGGCCACCAGTATTGACAGACATATATTATGTTGTTGATGTTAATGATATAACTCATTGAGCATTGAAATCTACTTCCAATTAAGTATCCATCTATTCTTTCTACCAAACACCGAACATTACTGAAAATGTAGTTAATAAAATGTATACTACTTTAAAGTAAGACAAAGATCACCAACCAAAAACGTGTATTCTAGTGGTTTTGAGCTGTCTAGATATTGAGGAGCCGGGGTTGTCGTGCAGTTAAGTATTGGCCCGTCTGCACCAACGTTGTAGGTTGTGTCTGTGGTTATTAACCCAATCACAGGGTCATGTACAGTCAGAACAGCTGCAGTTATTGGGAGGGCTATGAACATGATACATTTAGTATTAGTTACTGCAGTGTTTGATATTATGTTCAGTTCAAAAGACACATAATGTAACATAATATTAATCAGAGGACAATTAAAGTCTTATAGTATAAAAAATTTTTTAAATGTGTGTCTTTGAGTATTCCGTTTCATAAAATAATTATTAATAAGCAAACAGAAGTAGGTGTGAGCTATTAATTATGGAAAAGGTTTGATTGCATACATGTGTGTTTATTAATAAAGAGATGATGCCCTATTTTTGAGGAGAGGTGTGTTTTTATTGGGTGGATGTGTGCATACGCACAAACACACGTACCTGCACATCCATTGTTTGCAGGGTCTGAAACGAATGGATAAAATATATTTTCAAAACAAATCTCGTAAATTTTAAAATTCTAATTGCATGTTTTACGCATTTATTTCACATGATATCACAGTACAATCATAATAATAATTTATGTTTATATGGCTTTTTGTTTAAATTATTAAGGTTTGAATTTAAAACTATTTAAAATTTGTGTTCAATTAATGAAATCGACTGTCAATTTTAGTGTGATTACATTTCTATTGAATACTGATTTGTAGTTATTCTTTAGAAAATAAAAGCTTTTGAAGCTACTAACCCTTAATGCCTTAATATAATAGCTGAATGGTATGATTGAATTCGCTTTTGATGCTCATGAATTGCTGTTGCAATGTTCATATTACTTTCGTAATTGGTTACTGAGCACCAGTTATCTTACTATTATAGAAACCCATGTAATTCTTTCAGCTTTTTCGCTTCTTCAGGATTTAACTCATTTCATCGAACATATTTAAACCGTTTTAGAAATCGTGAATACTGCAAGATTTAAAATTCTTTTAAAGTGTTAGATTGGCTAATATTGTGATCAAGTATACATAATCCCACGTTTTCACCTTTGATATCATCCGAGATGTTAAGCATTTAAAATTAAATCGTAGTAAAATTGAATAAAACGTTAAAAATTGAACCTTTTAATTTATAGTAGCACCAATTTTTTTGGTTTCATTTTTCGATTAAATGAATGCTCCCATACACAAAATATATAGTTACAAAATTATAATAATTAAAGTATAAACTTGTGTGTATGTCTGTGTTGCATGTGTAAATTGAGTAAAATAAAAATAGATTGAGTCTTAGTACTTGAAAAAAATTTATAAATAAAAAAAAAAACTTACTCATAATGTCACACACAGTGGGCAGCGTGACCGAATTAACTGACGGGCTAAAGTAAATCGCCTTAAAGGAGTCCAAAGTGCACCGTATGGACACTCCATCCAAAGCATAACTCATATTCAGCACTTCAGACATTGATGTTATGCTATATGCTTCTTCGGTAACTAAGTTTTCGTAAGTACGCTGTATAAATAATTTTATAAATCATAGAGGGAAGATAAATAAAATAAGTAAAAAAATAAATTATATATATATATATATATATATATATATATATATATATATATATATATATATATATATAGATAGATAGATATAGATATAGATATGTATAAGTGTGTGTGTGTGTGTGTTGTTGTTGTTGTTGTTAAACTTACATTCACAAGAGCATAATAGAGTTTCGATTTTCAAAAAAAAAAAAAAAAATTAAAAACCAAATATACCTCAAATATCACTTTGTCCATATAACCCATTGGCGCGCCAATGCAAGTGAGAGACACACTTCTTCCATTGTAAATTTTTGACTCAGCAGAAATTCCTACAGTAAGATTCCATGGATCTATTAAAAAAATATTTTATAAAAAAGCAGTTATTCCGTTTATATGTAGATTGTTTTCTTCAACTATTTACACAAAAATAATTACAAAAACGAATACGAATAGGAAAACGAAAACGAACTCGAACACGAACAAGATCACGAATACGAATACAAATAAAAATGCAAACACGAACGCAAATATTAAAAGAAAATGTATTCTTAAATCTTAGCAAAACTCAGTTTTTCGTTTAATTAATATTTAATGACATTGATAAAAAATTCTCACGTACATTTCAAACACTATTGAAATTATTTAAACTTTTGTTTTGCTTTATACATTGACCTGTATTTCTAGACTGTTACATTTCTGTTTGATAATAATTACCACTGTAAAATGTCTACATGTTTGTTATGACAATGCGTTTATACACGCGAAATGTATACTGTACACATCAAGGAATATGTTTCTAGTCGGGAGGTTAGGGAGTAGTGTTGTCTTTCTTGTTGAAATGTTTGTCTTATTTTTATACTTACATTTGCCTACACCGATCTTTGTTATGACGATTTCATCACTAGTATCAGAGTTTAAGCTTAAAGTCCACGCAATAGCTTTACATCTGTTAAACAAACATTTTAACGACACTATTAGTATGTGTATATCCCTTGTGCTACACGTTAGATCAATTCTAAAAATTTAGTCGCAAAGTTTAAACAGTTTAGAATTTGTAAGTTATGTGCCCAGATTTCTGTTAGGGTTTTGAGAGAGTCTAGCTTGACGTGACCAACAAACACACACACACACACACACACACACACACACACGCTAACGTTTTTTTGTTTCCATTTGCATTATTGTTAGCGTTTATGTTTGTGTTTGCGTGTGTGTTTGCGTTTTGTTTGCGTTTCTGTTTGCGTTTGTGTTTTAGTTTCTGTTTTTGCTTTGGTTGTGGTTGTGGTTGGTTATGATTAGGGTTAAGTTTAGATTGAGAGTTAGTCTTGGGGTTACGTGTTTAAATGTCTATATTTGCATAAAGACATTAAATTGAAAAGTAATATTTTCCTAAACACGGTAAATGCCAAGTATACACTGGTTCATAAACACAGAAATCTTGATCCTTTAGGTTTTTCACATAGGCTAGTGTAGGGCATGATTGAAACGGCTAGTAAATATATATATATATATATATATATATATATATATATATATATATATATATATATATATATATATATATATATATATATATATATATATATAAAGCAAAGTGGTCAAGTGCCCAATAGGGCACTTACCGGCGCCGCAGGCGCGTCAAATTTGGCACGATGGTGCCTCGTGGCGATAGAACACGAAAGCCGGTGACGGTTGGCCGAAACGTCTTCGGACAGGGGGTCAAAACTGACCTCGACTGACCGGCGCCTTATATGGGCTATATTACGAAAAAAAAATTCCTCTGACGACCCCCCTTGATATTTTGTGAGGTGGTAGGAGAACGCCTTGGGGTGTCACAAAAAACTCGCCATGTCCGGGAAAACTTCGTTAAGGGGTCAAAACTGACCAGTCGTATTTCCCTATATAATCTTTGTATTTTATGGGAAAAACAGAGGGTCATTTCAACGCGGATTTTAGGGTACTTAAACTCAGTATATCTTGCTAATTCTTTGCATAATCTTAGTTAAATGGCTTGACCTTTAGGGAAAACTGTCGGTTACAATCAAAGACCTCGATGAGGGCTAAAAAGTGACCGCGAGTGAAATTCTCTTTATATGAGCTCTATTACGAAAAACAATTTCCTCTGACGACCCCCTTGATATTTTGTGAGGTGGTAGAAGAACACCTAGGGGTGTCACAAAAAATCCGGCATATCTGGGAAAACTTCGTAAAGCGGTCAAAACTGACCAGTTGTATTTCCCTATATAATCTGTGTATTTTATGGGAAAAACAGAGGGTCATTTCAACGCAGACTTTAGGGTACTTAAGCTCATTATTTCTGGCTAATTTATTGCATACTCTTAGGTCAATGGCTTGACCTTTAGGGAAAACTGTCGGTTACACTCAAAGCCCTCGACGAGGGCTAAAAAGTGACCGCGAGTGAAATTCTCTTTATATGAGCTCTATTACATAAAAAAATTTCCTCTGACGACCCCCCCTTGATATTTTGTGAGGTGGTAGAAGAACACCTAGGGGTGTCACAAAAAACTCGCCATATCTGGGAAAACTTCGTAAAGCGGTCAAAACTGACCAGTTGTATTTCCCTATATAATCTTTGTATTTTATGGGAAAAACAGAGGGTCATTTCAACGCAGACTTTAGGGTACTTAAGCTCAATAGATCTGGCTAATTTTTTGCAAACTCTTAGGTCAATTGCTTGACCTTTAGGGAAAGCTGTCGGTTACACTAAAAGCCCTCGACGAGGGCTAAAAAGTGACCGCGAGTGAAATTCTCTTTATATGAGCTCTATTACGAAAAAAAATTTCCTCTGACGACCCCCTTGATATTTTGTGAGGTGGTAGAAGAACACCTAGGGGTGTCACAAAAAACTCGGCATATCTGGGAAAACTTCGTAAAGCGGTCAAAACTGACCAGTTGTATTTCCCTATATAATCTGTGTATTTTATGGGAAAAACAGAGGGTCATTTCAACGCAGACTTTAGGGTACTTAAGCTCATTATTTCTGGCTAATTTATTGCATACTCTTAGGTCAATGGCTTGACCTTTAGGGAAAACTGTCGGTTACACTCAAAGCCCTCGACGAGGGCTAAAAAGTGACCGCGAGTGAAATTCTCTTTATATGAGCTCTATTACATAAAAAAATTTCCTCTGACGACCCCCCCTTGATATTTTGTGAGGTGGTAGAAGAACACCTAGGGGTGTCACAAAAAACTCGCCATATCTGGGAAAACTTCGTAAAGCGGTCAAAACTGACCAGTTGTATTTCCCTATATAATTTTTGTATTTTATGGGAAAAACAGGGAAATTTTAACACAATTTTTAGGTTACTTAACGTCTGTACATCATGCTAAGTTTGTGCATACACTACTATAGATTACTAGGCCGTATGGAAAAACTGTTGGTCAGACTCGAAGCCCTCGACGAGGGCTAAAAGATGATCTTGAGTGAAATTCTCCTTATATGAGATATATATATATATAAATAAATTGACGAACGATCCCCTTAATATTATGTGACGTCGTAGACCGACCCTGGAGGGTAACAAAAAAACTTTATTCCCGTCGGAAACAGCCATTATAGTCGTTAAATATGTTCATATAACGTAATTTCTTATATAAGCAAACAATATAAGTAAACAATGACATTCGTTATACGTTCAGTTTTCAAGGGAGGTAACGTTTTTAAAATTATTAGTTTTTCAAATAATTGTATACTATTTTAAACAGAAACAGAAAATGACGAAGTATAGCATTTGTTTTAGTACAAAATCAAGTTGTTAATTCAGTTACATATCCTAATTAAATAAATTAATTTCAAAAGGCAATATAATATAAACTATGAGATATACTGTTCATGGAACCTGTGTAGTTCAATTTCCATTTTAGTTATACATTGCGTACTTTCCAATATTTCTCTGAGAACGGAATTTAAATGATAAAACAAAATTTTTTTTCTAAAGTTAGCGTTACTGTTTAAATTAAAGCACTCCACACCCACTCCATCGCTAAATAATTACGTATTCAAATTCTCAAAAGTTTTTTTAAAAACCTAAGCGAAGCTAGGCAGTATGCCTAGTCTATATATATAAAGCAAAGTGGTCAAGTGCCCGATAGGGCACTTCCCGGCGCCGCAGGCGCGTCAAATTTGGCACGATGGTGCCTTCGGGCGATAGAACACGAAGGCCGGTGACGGTTTGACGAAAAGTCTACGAAGAAGGGGTCAAAACTGACCTCGACTGACCGGCGCCTTATATGGGCTATATTACGAAAAAAAAATTCCTCCGACGAACGCCCCTTGAAATTTTGTGATGTGGTAGGAGAACGCCTTGGGGTGTCACAAAAAACTCGGCATATCTGGGAAATTTTCGTAAAAGGGTCAAAACTGACCAGTTGTATTTCCCTATATAATCTTTGTAATTTATGGGAAAAACAGAGGGTCATTTCAACGCAGACTTTAGGGTACTTAAACTCAGTATATCTGGCTAATTTTTTGCATACTCTTAGGTCAATGGCTTGACCTTTGGGGAAAACTATCGGTTTGACTCAAAGCCCTCGACGAGGGCTAAAAACTGACCGCGTGTGAAATTCTCTTTATATGAGCTCTATTACGAAAAAATAATTTCCGACGACGACCCCCCCTTGATATTTTGTGAGGTGGTAGGAGAACGCCTTGGGGTGTCACAAAAAACTCGGCATATCTGGGAAAACTTCGTAAAGGGGTCAAAACTGACCAGTTGTATTTCCCTATATAATCTGTGTATTTTATTGAAAAAACAGAGCGTAATTTGAAAACGGATTTTAGGACACTTACCCTCTTTACATCTGGCTAATTTTTTGTATACACCTCTAAAGATGACTACGCCGTATGAAAAAGCTGTTGGTCAGACTTATAGCCCTCTAACATGGCTAAAAAGTCACCGCGGGTTAAATTCTCATTATACAAGATTTGGTCATTTGGTCTATGAACAGGGGAGGTAACTTTTTAAGGTTATAATTTTTAAATATTTTGTATACTCTTTTTAAGAAAAAAACAAAAATCAAAAATACAGCATTGTTTTAAATAAATATATTGTTACAAATTAAGTTTTGCATTGTACTGAAATATAAAAATTAATTGCGAAAGTAATTTATTATAATATTTGATTGATACTATTAAGAAATGCCTTGCAGTTCTAATAACCGTGCAAGTAATAAGTTTGCGAATATTCCCTCAATATGTGGTGGACATGAAAGTACTCTACTGTATAAATTTAGGCCCTAAGCATTTAACATAGCAGCCAATCACCTATTAATTAATCATTCAATTCCTCAATTTTTTTTAAAAAACCTAAGCGAAGCTAGGCAGTATGCCTAGCAGGGGCGTAGCGAGGGGGGGGGGGTGCGGGGGGTGCGGACCGCACCGGGTGACACCATTTAGGGGGGTGACACCAAGGCAAAAAATAGCAAAATATATAGAGAAAAACTCGAGGGGGGGGGGGTGCAAATCGAAAGTTTGAAGGGGGGGGTTGCAAATCGAAAACTTGAGGGGGGGGGGTGCAAATCGAAAGTTTGGGGGGGGGGGTGCAAATCGAAAATTTGAAAGTTTGTCCCTGGGAAGGGTCTCTATGCCTCTGGGGGGGTGACACCATTAAGCGCCGCACCGGGTGACACCCGACCTCGCTACGCCACTGATGCCTAGTATATATATAAAAGCATAATGCAAGTATTTACTTGGGTATAAAATACTATACATACTTGTATTTTCCAGTACGGTTGATTGAAATAATGTTCTCGCCGCTGTATAACAAATTGTCGTTGTAATACCAATCATAGCGCTTGGCGCCTGCCACCGTTGAACATACCAGCAAGTCTGATGTTCCGGTAATCAAAAATGTTGATCTCCCCTCCGTTGTTGATATCTTCGGCTTTTGTAGCTTTACTGTTTGGAAAATAATTTGATGAGTTGATCAAGTGGTTCTTAACTTGGGCTCGAAAAAAACCCAAAGAGGTTCGTTTAGTCTTGGCTAGTGATTCGTCTTAGACTTGGTAAATACACTCAGCTCATATCATTCATTATTAAATTTCGTTAGCGCGGCCTATAGAACTATTAAGATGGATTCTGTAAATGCGTATTTGCAACTGGTGGAGTTCGGTACCTCCAAAAAGGTTAAGAACTACTGAAGTATTTAAACAGTTTGTAAGCGCTGAACAATAGATGTTAAAATCTACACTTTATTAAAATCGGTATTTCAGGTGATAAACTCTTAGGGTTATTTTTGTGTGTGTAGGACGGTGTGGTGATTAGTTTCAAATGGTTGTATAGGCATTTTGAAGTAGCAAGTGAGGCGGGTAGGCATACGGTTGTAAAACCTGAAAGTCTCGATTTCGAACCCTCTGTCAGATGAGAATCATCCGCTAGGGTACATCTTGTAAAGAAAAAAAAAACTCCGAAATCTAACAGGTGTATCTTCTTAGGCGATAAGATTACAAACACAGATTTCTTTTCGTCAGCTTCTGCAACACAGCTGATTCCAAGCTGCCATGTGGGACCATCAGCTGGAGAGAGAGAGGGGGGGGGGGGGGGGGGCTGATACATGGTGAACATCTGGCTCTTCTCAACTTAATGCCCGTGCTTTGTGCTTGGATTTCCAAAGCGCAACCATCCAATGGTCTTTTAGTCTATGGAGCCTGTATGACAGTTGCTAAGTTCTGTTCTTTGAGACCGGTTTCGATAAGTAAAAATTTAAAATGTGTAACCTAAAGAATGTCAAGCTGCACCCTCAAACCTGTCCATGAGACATGATTTTTAATCCATTTTTTATTACTTAAACTTTTAAAAATAGAATTTAATCTCGTAGAAAAAAAAATTGGGCACCAAGTGAATGGCAAACAATGGGTGTATAATAGTGCGGATTAGTACTTTATACATAAAATTGCATTTTTTTTGAGAAATCGGTAATAGCGTAATAATTACTACTTCCGATAAACGAAAATTACTCAAAATTTGACAGAAGGCAGTGAGTTGCATCTTTTACTTATATGTGAAATTTCGTTTATCTATCTGAAACAGCACTAAAGTTTTGAAAAAAAACTTAAAGTAGAATAAGTCGCACTTCCGGTTATCGGAAATTGCTCAAAAGTTGAAACTTCATCAACCTAGCTGTAACGGTACTCAAGTTATCGTGTTTACAGACATACACACACACAGACGTACTGACATATGGCAAAGTCCAATTTTTCCGACTCGATTACAGATAAAACGCCGATATTCTAAAGCACCTGGATTTAGAATTTTCGCCCCATTAAAATAAGTTCCCTATACTCCGTATGTGACGAAGTACTGAGTAGTAAAACTGAAAACTGTCAACATTTCTTGTCATTTTTGTGTACCATTACAATACTTTCTCTATACTCTGTATACGAGATAGTAAAATAGAGTATACAAGAAAGTAAAGTTTAAAGTAAATAAACCAGTAAACAAAATTTTACAAACTTGCAAGCAAAAAGCACAAGGGGTTGGCATGTTCTGGTTAGTAAAGCCTAAGGCTGCTAAAACACGAAAGTCCTCGAGTTCAAACCCGTGGCCAGATGAGGTTCGATATTTCGGGATACGAGCCGACCCGCAGCGTATCATACGCCGCTATTTAGTTGTTTTATTTTCTACTTTTCAGTAATTCATAATTTGTGAATTCGACAGCACCAATGCTGCCACTGAAAATATTTGCTTTAAAACACAATCAGTAGCTCGTTAAGAACGATACTACCCCCCACCCTCCTTTCCCCCAACCCCTACCCTACACCCCCCCCCCCCCCCCCCCCGTGAAAGCAGCCTCCTCTTAGTTACCTCCCCTAAGTTTAAAATAGTTTCAAACTAAATTATCTGCCCCTAATAGCCGTCACTAAACCCGCTCTATGATTGTAAACATTTAGCGTGAACCACCGCTCACCTGACCATGTAGGGGTGGGGTGGTAGGGAGCGCGCTTACAGCTTGTTTTCTAGCGTCTCCCAGAAGAGAATTATATATATACGAGCCGGCCCGCAGCATAACATACGCCGCTATTTAGTTGTTGTTTTTTCTACTTTTCAGTAATTCATAATTTGTAAATTCGACAGTACCAACGCTGACACTGAAAATATTTCTTTGAAACACTATAAGTAGCTTGTTAAGGACCATAACCCCCCCCCCCCCCCCCCCTTCCTCCCCCCCCCCTACGTTTAAAATAGTTTCAAGCTAAACTATCTGCCCCTAATAGTTGCCACTAAACCCAGCTCACTAAGACCATGTAGGGGTAGGGGTGGTAGGGAGAAGCGTTTACAGCTTGTTTTCTAGCGTCTCCCAGAAGAGAATTATATATATAGATATATATAGATAGATAGCTGCTGCCGGGTAGTTTGTTCTTGGATGGACAAAGTCTATGGAATCATATCTATAAGGAAAAGCAGACTGAAATAGTAGTCAATGACCTTCATTGCGCGTAACTTGTTGACACGTAATACTTAATGTGTGTTGAGGAAATACAGACCACACAACAGTTAAGAACAAAGAATAAGCCATTTTATACTTACACGCGCATCCTGTTCGAACTGAAGCGTACTGTGTGTTTACACAATCACAATTGCCTGATGAGCATGTTGCCAGTGTAAAACTTGTAGCAGTGCAATCTTGATTTGAATTACAATCAGCACAGAGGACACGAGAATTGATAACTGACGATAAAATGGTGTTGACGTATTAAGTTTTACGTAATAGATAAACTAAAACATACAGCAGATTTTTGGATTATGTTATGTACATGATAGGGTATGTGTTGTTTTTGTCGATAAACCTCAATAACGCAGATTTTCTTTCTTTTAGACTTTTTCTCTCTCTGGGGGAGGGGGGTTGGGGGCACTAAGTAGGGCGGGGGGCTGATTAAAATTTCAGGGGCTGGTGAGGGCTGACATAAGTAGAAGTATATATATATATATATATATATATATATATATATATATATATATATATATATATATATACATATATATATATATATATATATATATATATATATATATATATATATATATATATATATTCTAAATAAATTTTATTACTTTCACGGAGGAAGGGGGGGGGGAGACGTTCTACTGGGGAGGGGGGGGGAGGATGGGAATATGACAGATGAATGAGAAATGGTGCAGTGATGTAGTTTAGAAGGTCATAAAATAGTGGGTTATTTAAGTGTACGTGTGCGTATACATAGTACGTGTACGTATACTTAATAACATTAACTTATAATTCTACTAGAACTATTTTGTAAGTAGTGATAAGACAAAATGTAAAATTGTTCTATAGTATACTTACAGATTAGGCATATCAACACTAAAATACCAAAAATGTATCGTTCCATTCTTTAATCTCATTTATTTGTTCATTGAAGTGTGATACTAATAATTAAAATTTGATTTTTATTAGAATTTATTTCTTCTATGGCTCGTCTCAAACTTGCCTCAAACTAAATAAGAGCGCTAATGCAATTTATAATGTGCAAAATTACCACGCGCATGTGTTCTGCGCAGCTTTCTGTCAATTGCTAATCCTTAAACCCCCTTTTGAATACATTTCTCATTAGTAAAACCCCTGTCTAAAGCCCACTAGACAACATTCTACAGTGTCTACACTATCAGTTACGAAAAATAACTAAATATAATGGAATAACAAAATTTAAAAAAAAAATGAAAAGAACACAATGGAAAGAAACATGACGGAATAAAAACGAACTAGTCTCACCATTTCAAAGAGTTATTTTTGCGCCAAAGAAAACAAAGACGTTGTTGAAATGACGTAAGATGAGGAGGTATATGTTTTAACATAAGGATTACGGTTACTCGTTTGTTGTATATGAACGTGAAACAAAATTATCATAATAATATGTTTTTTAATTACTGTTTATTATCTCAAATGATGTTTGAAAAATATATCCGAGCCGATAGAATTTCTTTGAAATATAAGATGCATAAACAATTAAGTTTAGTTGTATTGACATGTTGATATTTATTAGAACGTGTGTTACGTCCCTTACGTGTAGCGTCCTCTTATTGTGGGTGTGTGGATGTGCTCTCTTTAGTATATAGTTGTAGCCCTCGTTGAGTGTGTTTGCATAGAACGAGAGGTGTTCACGTGAGGATTGTCAACTGACGTGTGACACAGGGTGCACTAGGGTGTGTGGCAGTTGGTTGGCGTGTGGTTTTGGAGGAGGGCGTGGACGGGTGTACTAAGTATTGTGAATTGTAATTTCTGTCGTAAACCCTTTTATTTATTATATTATTGTATTATATATATATATATATATATATATATATATATATATATATATATATATATATATATATATATATATATATATATATATATATATATATATATATATATATGTGTGTGTGCTTATATATATATATATATATATATATATATATATATATATATATAAGCACACACACACACACACATATATATATATATATATATATATATATATATATATAATTCCTTTGATATATTTAGCATCATAATGAGTATTATTTGGTCTGATGTGTCGTTCGCTATATGTTGTATTGCCCTGTATATCCCTACACAGGAGAACCCAACATTTGTTTAAAAGTAAAATGCATTCTTTATTGAACAGAGAGTTTGTAAAACAAGCGAATAAAACCTTTTTATGTAGTTATACATATAGGACAAATTATAAGCAACAGAGTAGAATAGAACAAAGCTGTCTAGATCTGACTTGATTTAAGCTAGAATTACTTTCATTACATTTCGAGTTATGAATTCTATAATTACTTTCTCGTACTCGGGGTAAAAAGGACGTATTTGAATGGTGCAAAAAAATTAAAATCAAATCTTTGAGTCGGAAAAAACAACTTTACCACAATTTCCGGTAGTCGGAAGTGGAACGCATTCTATTTTCATTGTTTCAAAAGCATATAACTTTAGTACTGTTTCTGATAGATAGACGAAATTTCATTTAAAAGTTAAAGATCTAGTTCTCTGTTTTCTCTCACATTTGGATTAACTTATTGTGATTGGAAATAATACTTTACGATATTTCTTATTTATCAAAAACGCATTTTTTTTTGCAGTTCAGTAGGTGCACAATTCTTTTTTGAACGAGATTTAATTCTATATTAAAAATTTTAAGTATGTAAAATTTGATTTAAAAGAATGTTTATATCCCTAGTTGCTATCCCCCGTATCATTATATTAGAATATTCGAAAAAAATTAGCGGAGATCATTCCCGCATTATTATGTGTTAGTTTCTTTTTAAACGGATTAGATATTTGGATCGCACAGACCTCATTCTTCTATTCAGATAATTTTTATGCAGGAAAATTCAATGAATACATCACCACATTGGGTAGTGTAAAAGCTTAGCCGGGTATATTAAAAGCTAGAATTACAGCATACACAATGATCCCAGAGAAGCCAAAAAATTTGTCAAAGGAATTTATGATTGTAAACAATACAAAATCGATATTGTATACGATTATGCGTTATAAATAGCAACACTTCAGACATGAATACAAAAGGTACTGTAAATATCGAGACATATATTTCAACATGGTCTAGGTCTAGAACAAATGTTTTAATAGTGTTGTTAGTTTATTACGTAAGCTACAGAGTAGAGCGACATTCCCACTTGTATGATAATAAGCAACACTTGTTATACCTATAATTACCCGCTAGACAGTGGTTTACTGTTACGGGTCAGTTGTGGGTTAGATAGAAATAGGTTAGAATAATCTAGAACTAGAGGAGGGTGAGTGTGTGAGTTGAGTTTACCCTTGAGTATTGTTAACACCGGTGTGTTTATATATTGTTATCCCAAGGTCGAACGCGGTATAAACAAGTAAACTCTACTTCACTTGCCCTATAGACCGTCATGTTTGAAAAGGGAACCTTACTTTTAACTTTTTACTTATATATATATATATATATATATATATATATATATATATATATATATATATATATATATTTATATATCTAAACATATTGTAAAGACCATATCTACATATCGTATCTATATTCCGTCAAAACATACTGTATATATATATATATATATATATATATATATATATATATATATATATATATCTAAACATATTGTAAAGACCATATCTACATATCGTATCTATATTCCGTCAAAACATACTGTAATGTAATTATATATATATACATATATATATATATATATATATATATATATATATATATATATATATATATATATATATATATATATATATATATATGTGTGTGTGTGTGTGTGTGAGTGTGTGTATACACATGTAGGCATTAAACAAAAGCCTTTATTTTGTCATGTAGAAAAAAACAACATTATATCTATTACGTCAGCAACACAGGAATATAATTAACATTGTGACTCAATAGAAATAGAACAGGATACACTGACATATTTAGTTAACATAAGCCTAAGAATGGAGTCCTCTGGTTCAACCTATTGTGTATGGCATGCAAGTAAACAATCACTCGCGTGTAACCGGATCATTCAATACATAAAAATAAAAATAAAATAACATTTATTTTTATCTTTCAAACGGTTACAATATAGACAAATATTATTTTCGGTATGGGGAGTGGGGCATGAAACCCTCGCTAGAGGGGTGAAGGGGACTAAAATGTGTTCTTTAATGTGGTGTCACCCCCTAAATGGTGTCACCCGGTGCGGTCTGAACACCCAGCCCCACCCTCGCTATGCCTCTGATTAGGGCTAGTATCATGAAAGTGTCAAATTTAGATCCTGAATTCAATTCTGTAGTACGTCCCTAAGCCCAACCATTCCTGATGGGTGTATAATTTAAGTAAGAGAAATCCAATGTGACCGTACAAGGAACTTATCACTGTGCCCCCATATGCTAAGGTCACAGTTTGCATCAGACATGCAATCCTTACCATAAGTTTACCTTGCTCGCTTGCTCGCCTTAGGATTTAAGTTTCTATCGTCGAGTAGCCTACTTTGATTAATTATTAACAATCCAGAAAATGTGTCGCTTCAATAACTCTATTTTACTGAGAGCCACATCAATTGTTTTATACGAATATGTGAGAACGCCTAGGGAAGCTCGTTCAAGCTGTAGTTTGTATTGTGCTTAGAAATGTTACTACGTCGGCAAGTCTGGATTTTGTGCAGTGTTAAAAACTATAAAAATCTAAATTAAAATCCTAAATTTTAAATTAAAATTAAAGTTTGTTTTTTTTACTAAAGGGAGACAAACTTTTTATTTAGAACTGAAATGCATTTGATTATAACTTCCCTTTCAGTGTATGAGTGCAGTTTATAATTGCTTGAAAAATAAAATAGTCAATTAACTTACCACTATATTGTCTATCTACTGTGTTTTACATGTATAATTTTCTTACGTTCAGCCCCTTAAGAAACCGACATTGGAATTTTATTTTTCTATATGAAATGGGGTTTGAAATATTCCTTCATTGTTCTTTTCGACATTTTTCTTGTATAAACCGCAAACATAATGTTATTTTTATATACATTCATGATCTCTGATGTATATCAGTAATATCAATTACTATTTCGTTTATTATTCATTTACATATAAATAATCATGAATGACATTTTAAGTCTATGCATGAATTGTAAAGCCTTCTAATGCAAGTAATGACCAAATAAATATAATCTAATCTAGACGATAGAATAACGGCCAGTTACAATACAAGCCGAATCAAAGACAACAAACCAAAAATAATTTGACAAATGTATGTATTTTAAAAAAGAATATTCTGCTTTTATTTGCTATAGGTAAATTAACACTGAAATTTGCGTATGAAATAATACGAAGTCTGGGTAGATTAATAAGATTATTGAAAAATATTATATTATGTGTGTCAACAAACAAATTTAAAAACTAATGCTAAATTCAGATACATCAGTGTATCGTCAGTTTAAAACAAATGAGAGTATAAACTATGTATAATTTGTACCTTAGTGAATAAGTAATAATTTTCGTTTAAAATGTGAATGTAATTTCAAAGGTGGTCATCATAACTATAAATTTAGAAACTTACTGATCAACAATTTTTTGAACAAAAATATCGATATAATTAAAATTTAATAAAAAACTATATTTTAATCATATGTTTGTTACAAATATAGGCCTATATATATATATATATATATATATATATATATATATATATATATATATATATATATATATGTATATATATGACAGTGTTAGGGTACTGATAGCATGAGTTCTGAGTAATGTTCCAAATCTATGTTTTATTAAATAGATCCAGGGTGACCATGATTCGAGAAAAAAAAAACTTTAAGTTATAAATTGTAGGATATATATTTCTTACAATACACACTAAAATTATCCTCTTCTATATCATAAACAAATAGCGGAGAGACATTACGGCAACCATCAGGAGACTGGTTAGAGTTGCAGCTCCA